CGCCTGGTCTCTGCTCCTCCCTTTCCTTACAGTTAAACCATCATGGTCTCTGGTGAGGGTTAGTAGATTAGTGCTAAGCTATTACAGTTGCGTCACCTGCTGCCAACCTGTCTCTTGCTTATTCCAGTATGTACTGATCCCTGATCACCTGCATCTGGGCACTAGGGGAGATTCTGAATTTCTGTCTGATCACAGGGTACTAATCAGGCTGCATCCAGGGCAGCTTCTTCTGAATGGTTTATAAAGATGTAGATCTTGCTGGGCATGGGGACCCATGGTTCTAAAGCTAGCCAGCCATCAGGGGGCAGAGTCTGAACCATCTCTGTGAGTTCAAGGGCAACCTGTTCTACTTGGAGAGTTTTAGTCTGGCTGTGTCTACATAGTGAGAACTGAGACAATATCTCAAAAATGTAGACTCTACAATTGCCTTTTACAAGATAAGTAGGGTCTGTGAAGAAAGACCCGACCAAGTAGCTATGCACATTGGGGTAACATCATGTCAACTTAGAGAAGAGCCATTGTTCTTCTCAGTAGAGATATACCCTACTGACTGTTAATGAAGATAAAAACACAAAATGATGTTTTCCTTAGAATTTTGACAAAGGTATACATCGTGTAATCACCCTGAGCAAAAAAGAGAATACATTTCCATGGTTCTTGAATACACTTTATCACCTCAGAGTTCCACTGTGCATGACTATCTCTGATTATTTGGTCTTACTGCATATTCTAGATTAGCTGTAGGCCAATAATGGTAAAGGCTAGGCTAAGGTCTAGGATGTGTTTTCTGTTAATGTCATTCAGTGCCTCTTCAGTTTACTGCTATTTCCCTAGGGAGCGATCCAACACGGAACCCACCAACGATGACTAAAGGCTTCTATATTGGAATCCCCATTACCTTGATGCTTCTACTTCTTGTGAGCATAATGGTTATTACAAGTAAGTCATTCTAAGATGATCCCAAGGTAGGGTAAATGAAAGATTGTCATTTAAATAATAAATGATCACAGAAACCCAAAAATTTTTTCTTTAAATTTTTTTATTCACTTTACATACCAACCACAGTTCCCCTTCCCTCCTCTCTTTCCCCTATCCCTATGTCCCCCGTCAACCCACCCTCCATCCACTCCCCAGAAATGGTAAGACCTCCCATGGGGAGTCAACAAAGCCTAGCCCCTCCCCCTGCATCAAAGCTGAGCAAGGAATCCCACCATAGAAAATGGGCTCCAAAAAGCCAGGTCATGCACCAGGGACAGATCCTGATCCTACTGCCAGGGGTCCCACAAACAGACCAAGCTACACAACTGTCACCCACATGCAGAGGGCCTAGTTTGGTCCCATGCAGGCTCCCCAGCCTTTGGTCTAGAGTCCGTGAGCTCCCACTAGCTAGGGTCAGCTCCCTCTGTGGGTTTTCCCATCATGCTCAAACCAAAGAAGTTTTGCAAAGCAAAAAGTTTTACTTCTACAGAAGGGTGCAAAGCCACTTTAATCCACAGAGCAAGTGTACCCAGTGGTGGTCCCAATGAACCTTTACCTGTAAATCACAGGGTCCTGTGCCTGTCTTTCTGAGTGTTCTGAGCCTGGCTTCATGTTCTATGAAACTGGCCATATAAAACAGTGCAGTGACTAAAGAGAATGGTGTCTGAGTATAGAATTTGACCCTAGGAAAAGGCTCACTTGACAGCTATTCTTGTCCAATGGTGTCTTCCCACATTTCTTACAAGATGGCATTACCTCTAACTTATTTAGTCCTTTGGTAGGAGACAGTATGTTTCATTTATATTTCCCAGACCAAGGAACTAGAGGAAAGATTCTTAGCCATTCTTTCTGCCATGGGGTTTACATTACACATGACTTCTCTGTGTTCCTCAATCCATGATACATACTGTAGTCCCTTTAGGATCCCAGGGAGATGGTAGAACCTAATAAGCACTGAAATTATTTCTAACATCTGTGAAATGTTCTGGGACCTTGTTTTTTTGTCACTATGGGGGTGCTAGGAACCCAGTGGGCATTCTCTGCAAAAGCAGCAAGTGCTCTTAGCCACTGAAGCCAAGTCTCTAGCTCCAGCCATTTTTTATATTACTTCTTTTATTTTTTGAGATTATAATATAATAACATCCTTTCCCCACTCCTTTTCTCCCTCCAAGCTCTCCCATGTAACACTCTGTGCTCTTTCAAATTCATGATCTCTTTTTATATGTTATTACATGCATGCATATATATGCATTATATATATATATATATATATATATATATATATATCTTTGTAAATAACAAATATACACTATATATATTTTTTTTTTCCGAGATAACATTCTTGCTATTATTCTTTGCATGTATGTTTTCTTTGTTTCAAGACATGGAACATGAGCTCATTATTGACCTGTTTCAGAATATGTCTGTCAAGCTTCAGGATGTTTCCCTCTATTATTTTTTATCTTGGTTTTTCAAGACAGGGTTTCTCTGTGTAGCTTTGGAGCCTATCCTGGCACTCGCTCTGGAGACCAGGCTGGTCTCAAACTCCCAGCCTCTGCCTCCTGAGTGCTGGGATTAAAGACGTGTGCCACCAACACCCGGCAGGATGTTTTAATCTAATTATTTGGATTTTATTTATCTAAAATGATTATTTAAGCTGACTCTGGTGGTATAAATCTACAGTTCCAAGACTTGAACTGCTGAGGCAGAAGATTCATAGCTCATGGACTTTAAGAGAGGGGAATAAAAATTGCACAAAATATTACAAATAGGTTCCCTTTCTTAGCACAAAGTTATTTATTCTCCCGGGAGGGAGGGTGGTTACTGGGAGCATAAAGATCTTTAACAGGAAATGGCCATGGGTAGGAGAACAAGTGGTGCACACCTCCTAGACTACACTAAGGAAGGAGTGAAAGCCAACTTAGTGTCGCTTTAGTGAGTGATTTTAAAGAGTCCATGGTGGAAGAGATCATTAATAGGACCTTGTGTCTTCGGTCACCTTGGCGAGCCTACGTTTAGCTTGTTCTCCACTAAACAAATTAAAATCTAGACTTCTTTATTTCTTTCAGTGAAAGACAATTGACCAGTGCCATTCTAGCATGTTAGGGATGCTGTGTGGGTAAATGCACCAAACCATGAAGAGAAGAAACTTCCTGTGGAGTACAGGAAGGAGCCTCCTACAGTTACCAGGGAATGGTTCAACTAAAAACAGAAACAATATCCTTGATTAGAAGAAAAAAGCACCATAAGTGTTTTTGAGGGCATGTTCAATTTTATTTTCAACTACCCCTCCCTCCTCTCGTCCGTATTTAGAGTGCAATCTCATGAAAAAGAAACCAGGATCTCTAAGGTAAGCTGGCATGGCTGTGTCAATTGCTCTCGAACTTGCAGTCTTGTAGATTTTTGTTGCTGTTGTTCCTTTCTTTCTCCTCCTCTTCCCGTTCCTCCTCACATTTATCCTCCTCTTCTCCCTGTCCCAACTCTCCCCTTCTTCCCCTCCTCCCCCTCTGCTCCTCCTCTTCTTTCTTCTTCTCCTTCACCTCCTCCTTCATTTTCTAGGTAGAGATCTCTTGCCTGGCTTCCACTGCCCACCTTGGATTCTAAAATTAGTTTCCTGAGCCTCTCTCTTGTTACCATACCTCCCAGGGAGGTGTCAGCATTCTGATTTCCCTACCTTGGTGTCCTTTGAGCCTCTCAGCACTGAAAGCTTTTCTCAAGCCCTGAGTGGTAGATTTTGCTCTTTGGCGCTCAATTGAATGAGTTACTTTGATTTCCCTTTTCAGTTTATTTAATGATTCCTTCATTGGGTGCCTATTGTGTTATAAGCTTGTGAATGGGGTAGAGACCTCCCACAGTGGTTATGCTCTTGCACAGGACCCAATCTTGGCTCCTAAGACCAATGTCTTAGGGCTCACAAATGCCTGAATTTCCAGCTCCTGGGTGGTAGTGGGGAGGTGTAACATCTGCATTCATGTGCACATACGCACATACACATAATTTAAAATAAAACTTAAAAAAACAAGTAATGGGCACACATGTTATTCACATACATACATTCAAGCAAAAACTTGCACATAAATAAGTAATCAATATTTTCTCTAAAAATTGATGAAAGAACCAGAGAGAATATAAGCTATTAGGTCATCTTAGGAGAGCTTCCAGGCAAGTAGCATGGGGATGATAGGGTCACCTGTGTGGTGGGTTATGCGAGTGAGACCCAGGGAAGCAGAAGATTTGGAGGATGGTAATTTTTGCAGCAGTAAGGAGTGCAAAGGAACCCAGGCAAGGCAGTGCCTCTACTGTTCATACTGAGTCCTCGTCACTCATTTATATCGGTGTCTGTCTGCTTTGTATGCACTTTAATTTACTGTGTTTGTAAAGATTTTTCAGTCTCTCCCCCCTACATGCCATGTTCTTATCTGTCCTGATATACAGCTATCTAGTCTGTTTCATTTTGTTCAAGACTGGCTCTATACAGGGATATTTTTTTTCAATCAAAATTCACAGCCACCTGGTTAGTGTCCACTGCACATAGTTCTCTTCTGTGGGCTGTTTCTACAAAGACTTCTCTGAGTCTGAGTTAATCACATGAGCCAATCCACAGCCAATGTATTTAGCTGTTATTGTTTCTGTTCTATCCTCCCCAGTATGACTACATTACATACCAAGTAGTGTTATTCTAAGCATCCTACATTTGGAAAACAGGTTCAGAAAGAAGGGTGTCCCAGGTCATGCTATGTAAAGCATACTATATAGAGGCCTCGCTCTTAGAACCTCACTTTTAGGCTTCACTGTTTATAATTATTTTCATTAACTTCTGATAATGGAAAGGAAATACTCCTGATAGATAAAAAACAAAGCATCCATCTAATCATTGCTTTCCCATTTCTGATCTTTTTTTCAAAAGTTTTATTTCAATTCTTATTTTTTAGTGTGTGTGTGTGTGTGTGTGTGTGTGTGTTAGTGTGAGGAGGAGAGAGAGCAAGAGAGACAAAGAATGTTTGAGT